GGAAAAATTAAAAATCTCCCCCTGTGCCGTAGGGATAGAACCTTGCATTTTGGCACATTGAATTCTATATCGTTCATAAGGGACCATAGATGAGCTGCATTCAACGTTTCTTGGAGTGCCAGTGAGCCCGTTGGTTGCGTTACTGTATTCCAAATTTTGGCGTCATCTGTGAACAGTAATGATTTTGGTCCCAGAGCCTTCGGTAGATCGTTTATGAATGTTAGGAAAAGTCGCGGGCCAAGCACAGATCCTTGTGGAACCCCACGGGTAACGTCAATAGGGAATGAAAATGAGGCAGCTCCCGCACCGGATACTGATCGGCGGGGAAGAGTTATTTCCTTGTTATATCAGGCACATTGTACCGTGATTTGTTTATATATCCATATAAGTCCATATCTAGATCAGTGAATTTTATGATGTGCTTGTATTTAGCATAATATATTTCAGTCTAAAATTAAACTTCACAATGACTGTGTTTTGAACCCCGAAGTACGAGGGTGCTGAATAGCAGTTGGCCTATGCAATATGAAGTTACTTCAAAACACGGCAGCGAATGAATTACATATAATCCGTCCCGTGGTCTGGAATTACTGAATGAACGCACAATTTTTTCATAAACCATCGATTCCCATATCAGATCATCTTAATACATTTTGGTGGTTCCTCAGTATAGTCGAGGGTGGGTGCCTAGAGTTGTGACTGATCACCACTCTCTTGCACCAAGCGAAACGCGCCAATACAAACAAGCGTCGTTAACAGCCTCTGGTGAAGAAGCCTTACTCACTGTATTCCCCTGTTAGTGTTTTCCTAACAAAGTGAGAGGATGAAAAGTCGACATCTAGGGCTGTAACCGGTTCGGTGGACCACTCACAGGTATTTCACCTAGGGGAGTTGGCCAAAAACCTTGATTCCAAAGCAACCAAGAAGAGGCGTACGAACCACATACATTTTCCCGGTTGTGACACTGGTCACCGGTTCGAATGGGCACTTTGACCCCGCTGAAAGGGTGCAGAGACTTGGCCATTACGGAAACAGGACAAAAATAGATTGTCGGTGTTCGAACACCGCTGTCTACGTCGCATTGCACGAATCCGGTGGGGAAAGCGGACGATCAATGCTGAAGTAGGGCGCTGAGTTTTAGGTAACCGCGGTCGTCCACTGGAACAAGTAGTCGNCCTGTAGTTGTAAAACAGTCAAGGGGTGGGGGGTCAAACTCAGACCTGGCACGGGGGTATGAAAACCCTAACCAGGAGACTGGGTCACATAAGTCCTGCTAGGCTCCCTGGCTGGGGACACCGAGATCAAGGTCACCGATGGTTAGAGATACTGAGCGATATGGCTGGATATCTCAAACAGTGACGCTGATACATCTACTCATTATTCTTGTAACATCGGTCCATATAAACTCGATATCTTCCGCTTGGCTCTGTTCTTAATATTATGATCTTCATTCTGCTGTTTTATCCAAATGGGTAACCAAAAGACAGAAACCAAAACCAGCGAACGAAAGTGTACGGTTAATGGTTGTAAGAACTGAACTGAATTGAGAATTTATCCTTCATTTATGGAGAACTGCAATCAGTCGATGCACACACCGATAGGACGAATAAGCATTGACGCTTCGTTCTGTAACTGTTGATCGGTACTGAACCATCCAGACGTATACCGCAGTCGGCTGTTCATCGCGATCCAGTCAAGAAGCAAGCAATCAGCCTTGGCACTAAGCGCAATCCCAACACTAGCAACACTGCGAGTGTCGGATGCCGAATCGCCTGACACACGAAGGGTAAAGCGTGAAGATGTGATCGGATCTGGAGAACGCATAGAGATGCTTGAAGTAGGGTCTTGTATGCGTGTTTCCACGATACAGCATATATCTAACTGGAAGGTTTCAAGGGTTCTAGCTAAGGCAGCTCGTTGACCAACCTGATAGAGTGTGCAGACATTAAACGCGGCTAAATGAAAAGGAGATTTTGGTTTCAGAAAATCAGATAGCCTCTGAGCGCCTGATCTCATTAGTTGAACGCTGAGTGATATCTCATAGGTGGTGCAAACGGAATGTATCGCGTATGATTTGAGAGTGAGAGTAAGAACTGAACCAATCAAAAGGAAGATTTCCAAATAGATACCTAAGATTTTGAGAGACGATCGGAAACATGTGAACCACTAAAGGAGGATACTTTAGGAAATCCAAAGTGTGATTAGCTGATGGGTCCAACCAACTTACTGGCAGAGGCAGAAAAAACCGTTCCCAACGGCTGATTACCATCATGCTCGTCCTGTGTTGGCGTCTCCCCACCCGCGGCGGATGCAGAAGAATCAGAATCGTGCCCGGTATCGGGTTCCGGATCTTGTGTGAGTGACTCGATCACCTCGACGTCGTCCGGTTGCGAACAGAGTGGGGAATGGTCTGAATGACTAGGTTTGAGCAATTTTATAGGTGGCTCGTAATCGTTTCTGTCAGTTGCAGATGTGACAGAAGGACGACGATCAACGGTTCGGGTTTCGTCCACTTCACTTGACTCACGACTAGGCTGTTTCGGTGAACTGTGCAGGGAATCCATTGGAGCACGAAGATCTGTGTCTGGAGCTGCTAGTGGCCGCTTCATGTTCGCCATCTCCGACTGCCTTCCAGAATCACTGGAGTCCTTTGAGGGAACAGAGTTTGACAGACTGGCCGGCTTTCCAGGCTTGGTGCCTATGCTGTCGTGATTAACAAAGGGAGTGAGAAATATCATCTCAATTAGTTAATTTAACGTTCAAACAGGTGAGATCAGGAAAATGCTGCACGGGATTTCAGCCGACAAACCATGCACCAGTCGCTTCAAAAACTTCGACTTGAAACAAACGGTTAGTCTCCATTACACTGACGCCTGAGGCGTTTAAGAGAGACCGATCTCCGTGAGCATGAAGCTGGATTCCAGCCTAACTGCGAGAGTACTGATCGAACTTAAACTTTGCGTCACGTTCTAGAGTTGCGTAACACACAACGTCGACCAACGTTAGCGATGCTCTCTGATCTGAAAGGTCGCTGCATTCACATACTCCCAGTTTAGTGAGTCTTTTGCGATGTTCAGAACATAGAGTGAACAGCAGTTTTCCATTCTCCAGGTAACAGAAATCGAGTCCCAGCGGGCCTCCCAAGTGCGCCTAGTTCGAATGAGATCTACCTAATTTAGCATTCATTCTAGCTAAAACCACGTTATCACCTGGACTCGTTTTATGCAAGCGAATGCTTAGTTTTTCGTAAAAGATACCTCCGAACGCACCTGGATTGCGGTCCGTTGAAGCGTACGCCCAGATGACAAACAAATTACGTCTTCCGAGGCGAAGACTGCTTACTTTGCTCAAATATCTAGATCCTACTGCGCACAACGTACTCTCAACTGGCATTCAATTGGGCAATGAGGCTTCAGCTTTCTCACTCAAACCAAGCCAACCCCAGCAAAATCAAATATACCCTCGGTGTGCCCAGAAGAGCGTATATCAAACTTTGCGGATTGAGTGGATAGAAGGTCAGTCGGATGAAGGAGCTGGAACCGTGAATGCATCTCTTAAATTAAAAAAACAGCAATGTGTAGGGTTTCCAGTGTACATGATAGATATGCATGTGGCGCCACACGGATCAGTGTTCACACGTCGAATGTGGCTAGGTTGAAGAGATATCGATAACTGAGAACAGCTTCGGCTGCAGGTGACACTTGAGCGCTAGTTGAGAGAGTGAAAGAACGACAGGATTACCACCAATAGTACAGTCCTGAGTTCCCGATGCAAGGGAATATGCCCCCCGCGGGGGAGGAACGTGATGAAATGAGGAGAATGATGAATATTGAGACGGGCATGTACCAGTATGTGGTGAGTGCTATTTGCATTTCTCATTACGACACCGCAAAACGCCGGACAGTTCTCGATCGACGAAGTAGTCCCGTCATTATTGGAATGCCAAGAAGGTACGCATAGTCAATCACCTGCTATGTCGCACCCCTGAGAAGTCGCATTTTCAAAAGCCTTTCCCTTTTTTAGAAAACCTAAACCGAACGTATGCGTAATAACGGGGGCCCTGATTATGCCATTTCGCAACTCAATATGTCGCACTTCCTGATACCTATTAACTGGGTCGTTAACTGATGTTCGGGACGGCCATTGACCAACCAATTAGCAATGTCGCACTCAGCCAATGGCGCGCTTCCTAGTGTGATGCGAACGTGACACTGCTCACAGATTGAATAATCCTTGCGAAGAAGACCGATGCCAACAATCGAAGTCAGTAACGTGAATTCAAGATGTGTAAGCTCCTATCACTCAGAGAGAAGCGGTGTTGCACATGCTAAATCAACCAGGTGCAACTCAGAGCTCCGGAGCCGAATCACTAGATATTTTCGGATAAAAACTGTTTACAATGTTATACCGCATCGAACCACTGTCGGAAAATTTGTGAATGCTGGAGTATCTCAGGAAAGATGCCACCTGGAGACCAAAAAAAGTACAAGACAGTGGATGAGGTTATCTCGAATTGGTTTACTTCTATGAGGGAAAAGCAAGATGAGTTCCCTATGGTGGAGACCATCGCTTGTGAGAAGACAACCCAGCTAACACAAATAATGCATCATTGTGACTGCATGGCTTTCAAAGCTTGACCTCCCTCTTGGTCAGATAGATATAGTATTTAATCCTACAAAGTAAGAGACAAGCAACTACTCATTTGCATCACTGTATAGGCTTGTGGGGAAAGTTTAGCAATACCAGGTTACGCAATTGACGAGTTTCGAGCGGGTTTACCGCAGTTGATACATGGATATACTGACGGTGATATCTTGAATGCAAATGAAACAGCTTTATATTGCAGTGAGCATCCTCGTGGTCATGCATTTGGTTAGGAAAGCTTGGATGTCTGTGCATTCGCACATATCGGCTAAAGCTTTCGCGTCGAATCAGCCAATGATGCAGTCACCGACACTGGCCATCGATCTGTTTGAACAGGCACTAACAACAACAAAAGCGAACGAACGAATAAATGTTTGAAGACGCTAATGATACACAGTTGTGACCAGAAAATCATGAATTCATTGCACAGCGAACAACGACTTTGGAAAATGGGAAAGAAGTCAATGTGCTGAGTATAGTTCGTAACAGATATTTCACTTATTTTAGATCACATGATTTTCTTTGAATGCGATTTTTTGTCCCGTGTTCTCACTGTGTTCGATCTGGTTCATTCTTGTTTTCATTGAATGGGTTCATAATGAAGCTGCGATTATTATAGCTAAAACAGTTATATATTATGGTGGACGTCATATACTTAATTCTGCGATAAGCGTAGTGTTGCAAAGGAATGAAGGAATATCTGGAATTGAAATGCAGTAAATGGATGAGAAGAAACTGCCTTGAAAAAGGTAAGCGGCTTCAAGATAACTAGACACTTGAAACTGAAAAAGGGTTGAATACCGGATGCAGGGTACTAATAGTACACTGAGATCATCATAAAAGATTTCAATTTCCTCCATCCACGAAGGATGTGCAAGACGGTATATTTAAATTTCCCCACAAGTAACGGAATTAACGTACATATCATCGATTCGGTTTATTTTGTCACAAAATTCTCAATCGACTGTTCGTACAACTTAATAGCATCTACTCCTGACTAAAATGCTTCGTCTCGATTCGTGGAATTTACCCGCGTTTGCGAATTTCCGACATAGCAGGAGACTGTCTGTACTTTTGGAGGTGTTAGAATCAGGCATTTGTGAAGGAGAACCGGCTGAGGTCTGCAAAACGTAATCAGACGATCACCACTGTCGCATCTTTCTCCGAGACCGACTTTGACCAGTAAGTCGCGTAAGCTTGTCTTCGGAGTCTTTGCGGGCGTTCCAGAACCTTGAAACCAAATGAATGTCGCGCATGGGGATTCGACTGATCGACTGATCAATGGGCGGTGGTGGCCCGATGGTAGCGTCACCAAATTATCACCCCGAGGGATGTGTTCGAATCCCACCATCACTGCCTAACTTTCCCCATTGTTTTGTATAACAGACCTTAACTTGGCCGCTTCTCCCTTCACGAAAGTTGTATTATTGTGTATTCAATAAAAGGATTTAAAAATGAAAAGAAAAAAGTTGTGTATTCCTTGAAACTGGGGTACAGCTATCCCGGATTCATCTGGTTCCCAAGAGATCACAGCACTGTGTGCTCATTATCACTGTAACCTCAGGAAGCTCTCCGTTTTCCATTAGCCCATTATGGTAAATCTGGTCGGATGCTTCTGTATGGAGTACTTGGATGTCGGCTATCGGAGTTAGGTACGCGTACCGCAATTAATAGGCTAAATCGATTCCACAATCGTGGAGTGTGCGAATGGCGCTGCATTGACTTCTTGGGTCTAGCACAGTTCCCACTTTCCAGAAAACTATATGAACTCGTGAACTGGTGCTGCAGTTCCCAGTTCGTCTCTGGGTTACCCTGGCCACCGGGGAGGGTCGGGGTGGGGGGACACGAAGTACGTCACTTACCCGGGACGCCATCATAACATCGTAGTAACAGAATCCTTATATAACTGAGCGTTCCGACAGTTATCGGGATGGTAATCTTTGGGATCTGTGCACGAATGGACCAATCACGGAGATGGGTCAAACCGGTGTAGTTGATGAAAAATACGGAACGACCAGATCTGTGTTCATCATCATTCTCAGCCTTCTCCGACAAAAGTATGAGAAACAGCTTTGTCCGGGATAGAAAACATAGAACGGACTTCACAAACAGAAACCAAATTTCAAAAACAAATACACTATCCTCGTGTGAATCTTTTCATGGACTACAGTAGTCTGGTGTAGTTTTTCCTAAAAGTTAGTGATAATGTTGCAGAAAATCCCAGTCAATCTTTACCTAATAGTCAACCAAAATGACGAAACCGCAACTACCTGTCTTCGTGACGGCAACATAGACAATCCGAATGAGGAAACTTTGGTGTTTGTACTATGAAACAAGCAAGGAGCAGAACCTCAGTGGATGCAGCGTGGAAACGGCCCAGAACACAGAGGGGGAACAGCGCTGTATACACTATTGCGGGGAGACATGAAACATGTAACAAAGTAACTAAGTGGCTAAGTACATTTACTTTTTGATGCATAACTGTTACATCGATATTGCAATGCTTTCTTGAAAATAAGCATCTTGTAGTAGTTCAAAATTAATTCACCACCATTTAGAAATTGACGGTCCTGTTATTCTGGCTCTGTGACTTTACCACGTCACTGTGTCTTTTGCTCTCCAACCACCACATTGCCTATGATCATGATTGTGAGTAAATAAAAATGTCCATTGTCTCACTGAAAACTGAATAGTCTGGTAGGCGAAATAATCTGATTGCCATCAATTTATTAACTGATTATATCGCCACAAAAAAGTACGCCCTCGTGAATTTTAATCATTAAAAACCAGTTTAATTCAGTCTCAAAACGAAATGCCCAGTCTTCTCGGCATACCTCATAGGAACTTCCAAATCATATCCGATATGTTGATGTTATCCCACTCTCTAATCAACGATGCCCTCTAATTCGTGTTTTGAGGTGTAACCTCTGACGTGTTCAGTCGCCTTTTCGAATGGGAATATCTTAAATGTTTTCCCTCGGTTTCAAATTCGGGCTGCAAACAAGCAATTATTTTCATTCTAAAAATGATAAGTACTGTTTAGCTAGATTTGAGTTACAATATTACGATAATAGAGTGCTAGAAATTAATTTCAGGATGACTATTCAATGCCATTGTTGACATAAGATGCGGCTCCACTGTGCATCAGGCTATTGAACCCAGCGAGTTCGGTTTGGCTGTGGCTTGAGAAGGTACCCCGTACCATCACGGACATTCGATCGCTAATCCACACGCTGAAGTTTAGCTCTTGACTTCGCAGATTATAAGTAGCTTCATGCGCTGAGTCCATCTGAATGAATTTTTTTCGTCGCTCAAACAGACAAAGTTCCATTCATTTTACCAAGTTCGCAATAAAAATCCTTAAGTTAGACAAGTTGTGTTAAAACTATGCGATGTCTCATTTTCTTGTATCTCATCCAAAGAACCCTTTTAATCGTTCGTTATATCGTTCGCACCGAAACAATCAAATCAGTTACCGTTTTTTATGTGCGATACATAACTCACGGAGTTCGAGGCTACACGTATCAATCTGGGACAATCTATCCCCGAGATCCTTTTCTGGTTTTTATCTGTTTATGACTGGGTTTTAGTTGTTTATGCTTCACATATCGTGCTACCGTAGATCTGGGTCTATCACACCGTTTGGCTACCTCATGTGAGTTGACATGGACCTCAAAAAATGCATCCATTCTGATTTTCTCGTTATCAGTAAACCTATTCCAACGCATCAAAGTTGACACCGAATTGCGGTGGATGAAATGGATGTCTTAAAAGTCATTGAAAATGACCGGTTCATACGGTCACTGGTATCACGCTATCACGCAGACGTAGGTTACACCAATCTGTCCACCACTAATGGTTGCCAGTTGCCACACTGAATAACAACCTTGGTATATCCAGTGCACCATTTTTTTAGGAGAGTTGTACGTGTGTGAATTTCACGATGGGCGGATTGTAATTTTGTCGTGATGAAAATTCAGTTTTTTCCGTATATATTTTCATTAAAATGAAACAAACGAAAAACAATGTGATTCTTGTAGTCTTAGTGAACTGTAACTGTTTGATTTCCATGTTGCTCTGTCCCAAACGCCAGCCTCCATCTTCAGTTATTGTTGTTGTTGTGTGGGCACCATGCTTGTTAGCAAGCCATTTAACCATCATTATCGTACAGCGAAAAACAGTGAGGCGAACTTGAACGATCGCTGCCAAACTCGCAATGCACATAAGGTTAGTGGTAATATGTAAGGTAGACCTATTTTAGGGGACGGGGAAGAAGCTAAACCTTTATGGTCAACACACAATCGAAATGCACATACATGCCGTCTCAAGCATTCTGGTCTGATAATGAATGACAACAAGCCACTGCTATCGATTCGCTGCAACATCATTCCATGCCTCCAAAAGAACCAGTTGCAGAGTCTATCGAACTCCAACCGGGAAGGCAAGAGGGACCTATTCTACCTAATGGCTCTGTGCATTTCTTCGTACCGCATATCCACGATATCTGTTGACCTCCACGTGGCGTTCGCTAGCCGGGAACGGCTACAGCGAATAAAGCGCAGTGCGGCAGACGAGAGCCGGATATACACAATACGTGACCTAACCAGCGAAGCCTATTGACCAGAATTTCATGAGCTAGCAAGTTTATCCCTGATAAACTCCCGAACTAACCAGTTTGCCCCATCCCAGGTGGGCCAAACTAAGTAAACACTGGTATTCAGAAACCTCTAGTCGATGGATATCTTCTACGAGCAAAGTCAATGTCTCACAACCTTAAGCAGAACTGAACGAACGCTAGCACAATATACACGACCTTTCAACTTCAGTGAAACGTCGCGTGTACGCCAAAGGCGATTCAATCCAGTGCATGTTGCTCGAGACTTGGAAATGCGGGTGATTATCTCCTTTGCTGTGCTACCGTCATTGGTCACACAAGTATCCAAGTACAAAAAGCAAACCAGTATAATTAATTCCCAGCCATTTAGTAGCCAACACCCGAAGCTGCAGCATCATCTTGCACTTTCAAGGTGTAAAGTGTATACCGAATGTGACAACAGCACTTGTTAATCTATCAAGAGGGCTTTCAGTCTCATCTGTACAGAGGAACAAACAGGCGATGTCATCAATGCACTCTAAATCGCACAGCTTTTCTCCAGTTGCCCATTCAATATGAGGAATGGTGAAAGAGAACATCCTTGACGAACGCCACTGCTGGTGACGAACGGTCTACTTTGTTCGTTGTAAACCATTGCTCAACCAGAGGTATGTGACCTTAGTATATACACATAACTCTGCGGAATTCCTTTTTGAAGAAAGGAGCTCATCAGAGCTTCGCGGTTCACTGACCAGAAGGCTCCTTTCAGATCAAGGAACACTGCCATCGTTGGCCGACGGTGGGTATGATGCAGCTCAAGGATCTGACGCAACGTAAAAATCTGATCAATACATCCACGACCAGGCCGGAATCCGGCTTGCTGTTCACGGATGTTGGTCTCTCTTAAAGGCATCAGACGTCACTTTGGTGACGATCGGGATCAAACTTATCCCACGGTGGTTTTCGCAGTCGTTGTGGAATCCTTTCTTGAAAATGGGAACAATCAGTGATTCGCAACAATATGAAGGAATGCGCTCTTGCGTCCAAATATTGTGCAGTAAGGTAGTAATAGAGCTTACGAGGTTATCACTCCCCATCCTGAAAAGAGCGGGAATGAGCCCATTCGGTCGTGCTACCTTTCCTCGTTTCGGAGTTTGCGGTACCTCTGTATCAACCATTCACGAATTACACTGTTTTTTGCAGCGGAACTGTTTTCCAGCCCGATCACGCGCGTAGCACAGAGCAAAAAGGAGGTAGACGAGATAACGATATCGAATGTTAAACAGCACAGACTGAAACTTTATCAACGCCACTTACCCCTTCATCAAATTCGAAAGACCCGTGAGGCGTGAAATGATTGCAAATGGATCCTCCGTGACACGCTCCGTAGACACGGTCTCTGTCGGCAGAGATGTTGTGGTTGCGGAGGAAGACGAGGTTAGTGTCCCGAAACCGCCATCAACAGCTCGAAGTAGACGATCCAATATATTTGGTTGTTTTGGTTGTGAGGGTACTGTCGGGGAACGTATGGATTGGACGGGCTCTGTGACACTGGTAATCGAGGTCAACGCTGGAGCATTCAATACAGTAGTCGACGCGGTCAATGGCGTTGGTGAAAGTGTAGTTGCGGGTGGAGTTGGGGAGGGTATGACTAGTTCATCTGGTTTGGACGATGGTATCGTTGTCGAGTGAGAGGGAAACGGTGAAGGCATGCGCAAGAAGGCTGATGACGATGATGATGATGAAAACGGGGGGGTAGCAGAACTCGTGGAGAATGTGGGTCGAGTTAACACTGTCGAAGTCATCGTTGGTGGAGGTGGCGGTGGCGGAGGGGGAGGTGGTGGAGGTGGAGGTGGGGGAGGAAAAGAATTGCCAGTAGGATTTTGTGACACAGCCTGTAGGCATGGTTGTACCTGAGTAGTTGGCATAGTGGCATTAGCCACTATCGGTATCACTGGGGGCACGATAACAGGAGGTTTCGGTGGGGCTGCCATGCTGGTCAACGAAGCTAAGATTGCCGGTGGAGGTGGTGGCAAGGGGATCGAAATTGCAGGTGGCAAATTGAAAGGATGAGATGACTGTGGAATAGCAGAGGGGAGATAAAGTGCGGGACGCGGACCAGACGGCGGCCAGTTCGACATGTCCGATGCAGCTGTGGTGACCGGTGGGTTAGAAGTCGGTGAATATCGTGAAACCTATGAAAAAAAAATAACTCGAATCACAGTACCCATAAAATCAAGATTCCTCTAATCGATTAAACATTCAATGAATGAGAATAATGCATGAACTTTCAAGTGCACAAGTTGTTCATCGAACACAGACAGTTCATACGGTCTGATGAAGAAGCCAATACAAGGTTAAGAAGCTGGACGACAGTATCACTAAACACAATACGGATACGAAACTCTAAGCAGAATTCATCAGTCTGAATAGATGCCTAATAGTCTTTTAGATCAGATAAACGAATGTTCTCAAAAAAAGTGAGTCCGTCCAAACATCCAGTGTAAACTAGCACTCAGGACATGTTCGTTGTACGGATTGATTTACTAAAGAGGGCGAAAAGCTCAATCTGAAGTTGAATGATTATGTATGTATATATATATATATATATATATATATATATATATATATATATATATATNTATATAATGCGTTTAGCTCTCCCCTAAAACTGACACTCCGTCTTTTTCGCCCCTCTGTATGACTGCGGATGCAGGTGAGCTATTTAATTAAGACAATTTGTTCCATTCTTAAGCCTAGCTGCTGCACGTGTGTGCACAGATGCAGGGTAATGATTCCGGATGCATTGCGCACAGTAAACTGCTGGGGTTATCTATTCCGTCTGAAACGGCAAAAGTAAATTTCGCAAAAAAAACAGATGGATTGACTGACCTCAGACGGTTGGCTAGGGTTCGGAACTGGAGTTTTGTTGATCAAAAGACGCCAATCTCGATCACCAGTCTCGGCCGAAGACGGGTCAAGAGGTCCCGAATCCAACTCGATTCGTATTGATGGCACCTGTAGAGGTGGTGGCGGCGGCGGTGGTGGCGGAGGAGGTGGTGGTGGGGGAGGAGGAGGTGCTGATAAAGAAGCAGATTTAGACTGTCCCTCGAGATCGTCTACTTGAGGTTCATCCCCATCGGACATTTCCATACTGTCACTGTCTTCCTCGTTCGCGATACCCCGCTCTCGTGATGTATGTTCACCGGGACGATGAGTGCGCAATGAGGCCGAGCCCGCGGCTGGACTCCGGGTACTGTTGACCATATCTGGAGTCGTATGCGAGTTACGTGTGGAACTGAGTGGGCTGTTGGTCCCGTGTGAGTGATTGAAGCGTGGTGTTCTGATAAAGAGATTTGTGAGCACGAATAGGGTTATTTATCTAGGTCGATAGAGTTTCAGCCAGCAATGCTAGAAGACAAACTTCGTATCAACATGCTTTATGGAAAAACAAGAATTGTACTTACTTGTCATGAAAAATGATACAACTACGCTTTTCTGATGACTTTCATTTATTACTCACCCACCTCATATCCATCTACGTAGCAGTACTTCGAACAAGAATCCGGGTGGCGTGTGTGATTTTTGAAAAATCAAGTTATCCGTATCCTGAAGTGACGGATACACAGGTACTGACCAAACTCGTGCAACATCCTGATTTTCGTCACATTTGTTCCTCTCAATGCTTCGTT